TGAGTACTTTATTTACTTTTTTAAAACTGTCTCCACTATCTGTATTTTATTTTCTATTTTTCAACTGTTTCAAATAACCGTATTTTGTTTTCTACTTTCAAACCATTTAGGCAGTCTGTATTTTATTTTCTATTTTCGAACCGAATCCACAATCTTTATTTTTGCAAATATTTTCCAGCGGTCTCCTCTAGCTATATTTTGACAAATATTTTCCAACAGTCTCCACTATCTGTATTTCATTTTTTAAATTTCCTACTGTCTCCACTAGCTGTATTTTATTTTCTACTTTCCAACCATCTCCCCTATTCGTATTCCTTTTTCTTTTTTCTAACCGTCTCCAATATCTGTAATTTATTTTCTAATTTCAAACCGTTTACGCAGTCTGTATTTCATTAATTTTTTTCCAGCTGTCTCCACTAGCTGTATTTTAATTTCTATTTTCAAACCGTCTACGAAGCCTGTATTCTAATTTCTATTTTCAAACCGCCTACACTAGCTGCATATTCTATTCTATTTTCCAACCGTCTCCACAAGCTTTTTTTGACAAATATTTTCAAACGGCTCCACTAGCTATATTTTAAAAAATACTTTCCGTCTGCACTAGCTGTATCTTTTTTCCCAACCGTCTCCACTAGCCGTATTTTATTTTCTTCTTTCTAACCATCTATGCAATTCATATTTCAGTTTCTACTTTAAAACTCTGTACACTAGCCGTATTTTATTTTATATTTTCTAACCGTCTCCACTAGCTGTAATCTATTTAAAAAATTTCAAACCGCTTCAACTAGCCATATTTAATCTTTTACTTTCAAACCGTTTCAGCAGTTTGTATTTTATTTTCTATTTTAAAACTGTCTCAACTAACCGTATTTCATTTTCTTTTTTCCAACCATCAAAACAATCTGTATTTTATTTTCTCTTTTCCAACCGTTTTAACAAGCTACATTTTTACAAATATTTTCCAACCGTCTCCACTATCCGTATTTTATTTTATTTTTTCTATCCATCTCCACTAGTCGTATTTTATTTTCTTCTTTCAAACCTTTTACGCAGTCAGTATTTTATTATACTTTTTTTTCAACTGTCTCCACTAGCAGTATTTTAAATTCTATTTTGTAACCGTCTTCACTGGCCGTAATTTATTTTTTTATTTCACAACCGTCTTCAGTAGCCATATTGTAATTTCTTCTTTCTAACCGTCTATGCAGTCTGTATTTTATTTTTTGTTTTCCAACAGTCTCTACTAGCTGTATTTTATTTTCTATATTCCAACCGTTTATGCGATTTGTATTTAATTTTCTATTTCAAAACATCTACACTAGATTTATATTATTTTCTATTTTCCAATCGTCTCCACTACCTGTATTTTATTTTCTATATTCCAACCGTTTATGCAATTTGTATTTCATTTTCTATTTAAAAACATCTACACTAGATTTATATTATTTTCTATTTTCCAAACGTCTCAACAAGCCGTCATATAATTTCTATTTACCAACCATCTACACAACTCATATTTTTTTTCCTATTTCCCCACAGTCTCCACTAGCCATATTTTTTTTCCTAACCACTCCACTAGCGTATTTTATTTTCTTCTTTCAAACCGTTTTACGCAGTCAACATTTTATTTACTTTTTTTATAACTGTCTCCACCAGCTGTAATTCATTTTCTATTTACCAACCGCTTCAACTATCCGTATTTTATTTTCTACTTTCAAACCATTTAGGCAGTCTGTTTTTTATTTTCTATTTTCGAACCGAATCCACAAGCTTTATTTTTACAAATATTTTCCAACGGTCTCAACTAGCTATATTTTAAAAAATATTTTTCAACCGTCTCCACTAGCTGTACTTTTTTCCATTTCCAACCCTTTCCACAAGGTATATATATATTTTTTTTTCCAACCGTCACCGCTATCTGTATTTTTATTATTTGTTTTCCAACTTTTTCAACAAGCCATATTTTATTTTCTACTTAAAAATCGTTTTCGCAGTCTGTATATTATTTCCTTTTTGATAACTATCTGTATTTTAAAAACATTTTCCAACTGTCTCCGCTACCTGTATTTTATTTTCTACATAAAAACCGTATGCACAGTGGGCATTTTATTTACTTTTCTCCAACAATCCAATAGCCGTATTCTATTTTCTATTTTCTAATCGTCTGCCGAAGCTGTAATTTATTTTCTATTTTACTTCCGTTTTAACTTGCCGTATTTTATTTTCTACTTTTAAACCGTATTATTTTCTATTTTCCAACGGTCTCCACTAGCTATATTTTCAAAAGTATTTTTCAACCATCTCCACTAGCTGTTTTTCATTTTTCCAACTGTCTCCACTAGTTATTTATAATTTTTTTTTATCTAACCTTCGCCACTATATGTATTTTATTTCCTATTTTCCAACTGTTTCAACTAGCCGTATTTTATTTTCTATTTTCAAACAGTTTATGCAGTCTGTATAATTATTTACTTTTTTATAACTGTCTCCACTAGCCATATTTTCTTTTATTTTTTCTAACCGCTTCAACTATCAATATTTTATTTTCTACTTTCAAACCATTTAGGCAGTCTGTATTTTTTTTTTCTATTTTCGAACCGAATCCACAATTTATATTTTTACAAATATTTTCCAGCGGTCTCCTCTAGCTATATTTCAAAAAATATTTTCTAACAGTCTCCACAATCTGTACTTCATTTTATTAATTTCCTACTGTCTCCACTAGCTGTATTTTATTTTCTACTTTCCAACCATCTCCCCTATTCGTATTCTTTTTTCTTTTTTCAAACCGTCTCCAAAAGCCGTATTTTATTTCCTACTTTCAAAACGTCAACGTAGTCAGTAGTTTATTTACTTTTATTCAACTGTCTGCTCTAAATGTATTTTATTTATTATTTTTCAACCGTCACCACAAGCTGTAATTTTTTTTTTTTTAACCAACGGTTTCATTTACCCCTGTTTAATTTTTTACTTTCAAACCACTAAGGCAGTCTGTATTTTTAAAAAAAATTTCCAAACGTCTCCACAAGCTTTATTTTTACAAGTTATTTCCAACAGTCTCCGCTAGCTATATTTTTACAAACATTTTCCAACCGTCTCCACTAGCCGTATTTTATTTTCTATTTACCAACCATCCACACTAGCCATATTTTTATATATTTTTTCTAACCATCTCCACTAGGCGTATTTTATTTTTTACTTTCAAACCGTTTATGCAGTCAGTATTTTATTTTTATTTTTTCAACGGTCTTCACTAGCTATATTTTAGAAAATATTTTCCAACAGTCTCCACTTGCCGTAATTTATTTTCTATTTTCAAACTGTTTATGGAGTGAGTACTTTATTTACATTTTTTAAACTGTCTCCACTATCTGTATTTTATTTTGTATTTTTCAACTGTTTCAAATAGCCGTATTGTATTTCTACTTTCAAACCATTTAGGCAGTCTGTATTTAATTTTTTATTTTCAAACCAAATCCACAATCATTATTTTTACAAATATTTTCTAGCTATATTTAAAAAAATATTTTTCAACAGTCTCCACTATCTGTATTTCCTTTGTTTAATTTCCTACTGTCTCCACTAGCTGTGTTTTATTTTCTACTTTCCAACCATCTCCCCTATTCGTTTTCTTTTTTTTTTTCTAACAGTCTCCACTAGCTATAATTTATTTTCTACTTCCAAACCATTTACGCAGCCGGTATTTTATTTACTTTGTTCCAACTATTTCCACTAGCTGTGTTTTATTTTTTTAATTTTCAAACCGTCTACGAAGCCTGTATTTTAATTTCTATTTTCAAACCGTCTACGAAGCCTGTATTTTAATTTCTTTTTACAAACGGCCTACACAATCTAATATTCTATTCTATTTTCAAACGGCTCCACTAGCTATATTAAAAAAAATATTTTCCTTCTCCATTAGCTGTATTTTTTTCCAACCGTCCCCACTATCTGTATTTTATTTTCCACTGAAAAACTGTATGCACAGTGGGTATTTTATTTACTTTTTTTCCAACAATCTCCACTAGCCATATTTTATTTTCAATTTTCCAACCATCTACGCATTCTGTATTCTATTTTCGATTTTAAAACCATCTACACTAGCTGTATATTATTTTATATTTTCTAACCGTCTCCACTAGCCGTATTTTTTTAACTTTCAAACCGTTTACGCAGTCTGTATTCAATTTACTTTTTTTCCAACTGTCTCCACTAGCTGTATTTTAATTTCTATTTTCAAACCGTCTATGAAGCCTGTATTTTTATTTCTATTTTCAAACCGTCTATGAAGCCTGTATTTTAATTTCTATTTACAAACCGTCTATACTAGCTGTATATTCTATTCTATTTTCCAACCGTCTCCACAAGCTTTTTTTGACAAATATTTTCAAACTGCTCCACTAGCTATATTAAAATAATACTTTCCGTCTCCACTAGCTGTATTTTTTTTCCAACCGTCTCCACTATATGTATTTTATTTTCCACTTAAAAACCGTTTGCAAAGTGGATATTTTATTTACTTTTTTCCAACTGTCTCCACTAGCCGTATTTTATTTTCTATTTTTAACCGTCTTCACTAGCTGCAATTCATTTCTTCTTTTCGAATTGTTTCAACTAGCCGTATTTTATTTTCTATTTTCAAACCGTCTACGAAGTCTGTATTTTAATTTCTATTTTCCAACCGTCTCCACTAGCTGTATTTTTTTCCCAACCGTCTCCACTAGCTGTATTTTATTTTCTTCTTTCTAACCATCTATGCAATCCATATTTCAGTTTCTACTTTTAAACTCTGTACACTAGCCGTATTTTATTTTCTATTTTCTAGCTGTCTCCACTAGCTGCAATCTATTAAAACATTTTCAAACCGTTTCAACTAGCCGTAATTAATCTTTCACTTTCAAACCGTTTCGGCAGTCTGTATTTTATTTTATTTTTTAAAACCGTCTCAACTAACCGTATTTTAATTTCTCTTTTCCAACCGTTTTAACAAGCTACATTTTTACAAATATTTTCCAACCGTCTCTACTATCCGTATTTTATTTTATTTTTTCTAACCATCTCCACTAGTCGTATGTTATTATTTTCTTTCAAACCTTTTACGCAGTCAGTATTTTATTCTACTTTTTTTCAACTGTCCCCATTAGCAGTATTTTAAATTCTATTTTGTAACTGTTTTCAATGGCCGTTATTTATTTTTTATTTCCCAACCGTCTCCAGTAGCCATATTGTAATTTCTTCTTTCTAACCGTCTACGCAGTCTGTATTTTATTTTCTATATTCCAACCGTCTATGTTATCTGTATTTCATTTTTTATTTTCAAATCATCTACACTAGATGTATATTATTTTCTATTTACCAACCGTCTCCACTAGCCGTCATATAATTTCTATTTACCAACCATCTGCACTAGTCGTATTTCTTTCCTATTTCCCAACAGTCTCCACTAGCAATATTTTTTTTTCTAGCCATCTCCACTAGCGAATTTTATTTTCTTCTTTCAAACCGTTTACGCAGTCAACATTTTATTTACTTTTTTATAACTGTCTCCACCAGCTGTAATTCATTTTCTATTTACCAACCGCTTCAACTATCAATATTTTATTTTCTACTTTCAAACCAATTAGGCAGTTTGTTTTTTATTTTCTATTTTCGAACCGAATCCACAAGCTTTATTTTTACAAATATTTTCCAACGGTCTCAACTAGCTATATTAAAAAAAAATATTATTCAACCGTCTCCACTAGCTGTATTTTTTTTCATCTCCAACAGTCTCCTCGAGGTATATACATATTATTTTTTTCCAACCGTCTCCGCTATCTGTATTGTATTATTTTTTTCCCAACTTTTCAACAAGTATGTATATTATTTACTTTTTAATAACTATCTGTATTTTTTAAAAATTTCCAACTGTCTCCGCTACCTGTATTTTATTTTCTACTTAAAAACCGTATGCACAGTGGGTATTTTATTTACTTTTCTCCAACAATCTCCACTAGCCGTTTTTTATTTTCTATTTTCTAATCGTCTGCCGAAGCTGTAATTTATGTTCTATTTTACATGAGTTTCAACTTGCCGTATTTTATTTTCAACTTTCAAACAGTATAGGTAGTTTGTATTTTATTTTTTATTTTCCATCTCCACTAGGCGTATTTTATTTTTTACTTTCCAACCGTTTGTGCAGTCAGTATTCGATTTACTTTTTTTTAACGGTATCCACTAGTTCTATTAAAAATAATATTTTCCAATAGTCTCCACTAGCCGTAATTTATTTTCTATTTTCAAAACGTTTATGCAGTGAGCACTTTCTTTACTTTTAAAAAAACTGTCTCCACTATCTGTATTTTATTTTCTATTTTTCAACTGTTTCAAATAGCCGTATTTTTATTTCTACTTTCAAAATGTTTACTTACTCTGTATTTTATAAGCTTTTTTTCAACTGTCTACACTAGCTGTATTTTATTTTCTACTTTCCAACCATCTCCCCTATTCGTATTCTATTTTCTTTTTTCTAACCGTCTCCACTAGCCGTAATTTATTTTCTACTTTCAAACCGTTTACGCAGTCTGTATTTTATTTACTTTTTTTCCAACCGTCCCCACTACCTGTATTTTATTTTCCACTGAAAAACTGTATGCACAGTGGGTATTTTATTTACTTTTTTTTCCAACAATCTCCACTAGCCTTATTTTATTTTCAATTTTCCAACCATCTACGCATTCTGTATTCTATTTTCTATTAAAAAACCGTCTACACTAGCTGTATATTATTTTATATTTTCCAACCGTCTCCACTAGCCGTATTTTATTTCCTACTTTCAAACCGTTTACGCAGTCAGTAGTTTATTTACTTTTATTTAACTGTCTCCTCTAAATGTATTTTATTTTTTATTTTCCAACCGTCACCACAAGCTGTGATTTATTTTCTATTTACCAACGGTTTCAACTACCCCTATTTAATTATTTACTTTCAAACCATTAAGGCAGTCTGTATTTTTTAAAAAATTTCCAACCGTCTCCACAAGCTTTATTTTTACAAGTTATTTCCAACAGTCTCCTCTAGCTATATTTTTACAAACATTTTCCAACCGTCTCCACTAGCCGTATTTTATTTTCTATTTTCCAACCATCCACACTAGCCATATTTTTATATATTTTTTCTAACCATCTCCACTAGCCGTATTTTATATTTTACTTTCAAACCGTTTATGCAGTCAGTATTTTATTTACTTTTTTTCAACAGTCTCCACTAGCTATATTTTTTAAAAAAATTTCCAACAGTCTCCACTAGCCATAATTTATTTTCTATTTTCAAACTGTTTATGGAGTTAGTACTTTATTTCCTTTTTTTCCCATATATATTTTCTTTTTTCCAACCATCTCCACTATCCATATTTTATTTCTACTTTCAAACTATTTACGCAGTCTGTATAATTATTTACTTTGTATAACTGTCTCCACTAGCTCTATTTTATTAATTATTTTCCAACTGTCTCCACTACTCATATTTTATTTAATTTTTCCTAACGATCTACGCAATCTGTATTTTATTTTCTATTTTAAAACCGTCTCCACTATACGTTTTTTTCGTCTCGACAAGACGTATTTTATTTTCTGCTTTCAAACTGTATACGGAGTGGGTATTTTATTAATATTTTTCCAACCGTCTACACAATCTGTATTTCATTTTTTATTTTCCAACCCTCTCCAATAGCTGTCATTTAATTTCTATTTTCCAATTGGTTCAACCAGCCCTATTTTATTTTCTACTTTCAAATCGTTTAGGCAGTCTGTATTTATTTTTCTATTTTCCAACTGTCTACACAAGCTTTATTTTTACAAATATTTTCCAACCGTCTCCACTAGCAGTATTTTTTTTCAGCCGTCTCCACCAAGTATATATATATATTTCACTTTTTACAACCATCTCCACTATCCATATTTTATTTTCTACTTTCAAACCGTTTACGTAGTCTTTATATTATTTACTTTTTTATAACTGTCTCAACTAGCTGTATTTTATTTTCTACTTTCAAACGGTCTACACAGGAAGTATGTTATTTACTTTTTTTTCCAACCGTCTCCACAAGAAATATTTTATTTTTTATTTTCCAACAGTCTCCACTACTTGTTTTTTCGTTTTCATTTTTCTACCGTCTCCGCTAGTCGAATTTTATTTTCTCTTTTCCTCCCGTCTAAACAATCTGTAGTCTTATTTCTATTTCCAAAAATCTCCTGAAACCATATTTCATTTTCTTCATTTTAACCGTCTACGCAAATCCATATTTCAGTTTCTACTTTAAAACCCTGTACACTAGCTGTCTTTTATTTTCTATTTTTCAACCGTCTTCCATAATCGTATTTTATTTTTTATTTTCCAACTTTCTAAACAATCTGTAGTCTATTTTCTATTTTTCAACTGTCTTCACTAGCCGTATTTTCTTTTCTTCTTTATAACCATCTACACAATCTGTATTTTATTTTATTCTTTAAAACCGTGTGTACTAGCTGTAATTTATTTTCTATTTTCCAACCGTTTCAACTAGGCGTATTTTATTTTCTACTTTCAAACCGTTGACTCAGTCTGTATTTTATTTTACATTTTAAAACCATCTCAATGAACCATATTTTATTTTCTCTTTTCCAACCGTCTTGACAAGCTTTTTTTTTTTTTCGTAGCGTATCCACCAGTTGCTTTCTGTTGTTTTTTTTAAATTACAACCTTCTCCACAAGACGTATTTTTTTCTACTTTCAAACCGTCTACGCAATCTCCATTTTATTTACTTTTTTTATAACCGTTTTCACTAGTCGTTATTTATTTTCTACTCTCAAAATGTTTACGCATTTGTATTTTATTCTTTTATTTTCCAACTGTCTACACAATTGAGACAATCTGTATTCTAGTTACTTTTTTCCAACGTTCTCCGCTAGCTGTACTTTATTTTCTACCTACAACCCGTCTACACAATCTGGATTTTATTAACTTTTTTATAACTGTCTTCACTATCTGTATTTTATTTTCTATTTTCTAATCGTCTCCACTATCTGTAATTTTTTTTTCTATTTTCCAATCGTCTTAATCTGTATTTTATTTACTTTTTTCCCCGCTGTATCCAATCGTCGTTTTTTATTTTCTACTTTCAAACCGTTTACGTAGTCCGTATTTTATTAATTTTTTTCTAACCGTCTCCACAAGCCATATTTATTTTTTTAACTTTCCATCCGTGTACGCAATTTGTATCTTATTTTCTATTTTAAAACCGTTTACACTAGCTGTATATTATTTTCTACTTTCCAACGGTCAACACAATCTTTGGTTCATTTTCTATTTTCCAACAGCCTCCACTAACCGTATTTCATTTTCTATTTTCCAACAGTCTCCACTAACAGTATTTCATTTTCTATTCTCCAACAGTCTCCACTAACCGTATTTCATTTTCTATTTTCCAACTGTCTCCACTAACCGTATTTCATTTTCTATTTTCCAACTGTCTCCACTAACCGTATTTCATTTTCTATTTTCCAACTGTCTCCACTAACCGTATTTCATTTTCTATTTTCCAACTGTCTCCACTAACCGTATTTCATTTTCTATTTTCCAACTGTCTCCACTAACCGTATTTCATTTTCTATTTCCCAAACTACGCAATCTGTATTTTATTATCTCTTGTCTAACAGTCTGCACTAGGTTTATTTTTACAAAATGTTTATATTTTCCAACCGTCTCCACTAGCTGAATTTTTTTTTTTTTTCCAACCGTGTACGTAATCTGTATTTGTGAAATCAGGTGCTTGTCAAAATAACGATATCAGAGAAATCGGTATTTTTGGCTAGTTCGGAAATATTTTTCGAATTTTTGTTTTTCTAGCTCAACACCTTGTATGTCTATTGAAAATCTCTTTTATGGGTAGATTTTACGAATAAATGTTGATTAAAGGCATAAAACATCTAAACTTGCAGTTTCTAAGGAATCTTGAGCTATGGAAGTTATCAAACTTTGGCGGCTAATTTTCTCAATAATTTGACCTCTGAAACCAGGCGACCTTGACAAATATATATATATATCGACTTCTGTTCGACATAAATGGATTTTTTTCACCAAAAGAAAAGCAAATGAACAGTCTTTAAGATGATACCAATAACCCCATAGGCCCAACAATTGACGAGCGCCTGATTCCACCACGTCGTGACACATATAACATATTATTATCAATCTTATCTTACCTCAGTGAGCTCATACGATCCCCAAATTTGTCCCCGTGGTTTTATGCACACAAAAAAATCTGAAATTATGAAAACTGAGCCCAAAAAATGTGAAATTATGCGATTCTGTTAATTTTAACAAAGAATGATAAAGGAAAATAATCACAAATTATGCAAAAAAAGATCAAATTTTGCTAAATAATGCGGGGTGCATAAAACCGCGGGGGAAAGCTAAATGGACTAAATGGGATGGACAAGAACATGAGAAAAGATCACTAATGCTTTTTTATTGATTTTGTTTGAGGCAGAAATTTCTAAAGTCATAGGAAATGTGTCAAAAACAGGCTTGCAAACAACAGAAACCAGAGTCATGATAAAAGGACAAATTTTAATAATTAAATAGGTCGCTTTTGAGCACAAGGCGGCTATCCCGAAAAATGCTGTTTTGAGAAAATCAAAGCTAAAGTTTTTTGCCCCTTGTTCAGTTTCTTTAAAAGACAAGGAGAGTTTTCTCTATAACCAAACAAATATACACACCAATGAAACCAAACTTCTCCTATAGGTAGGGCAATGACCACTTTTAGTGTAGGTCAAGATTTCTGGAAACCCCCGAAATCTGGGTTAGCCCGCTTGTCCTTAAAAGCGACCCATTATAGTAGAAGATTGATTTAATAATTGATTTAGAGTTTTCTGTTTACAGATAGAATAAACATTGTGTAGAAACACAAACGCACACACACACACACACACACACACACACACACACA